AGCCTAAATCTGTTTTGAGGTGTTGGGCGTGTTTCATTTTCATTGGGTCCAGGAAGACATTACAACTTTGGGTCGGATTGAATACCTGTCTGCACCTCGTAGCAGTGATACACGAAATTTGGGGCTCAGTCAGATCAAGCACAATACTCTTTGACAGGATGGTATTTGGGCCATCGACATCCCTCCATCCTTCTCTTCACTTCAAAGTCGGCAACGCATTCGCAACACCATGTTGTAAATAGGTGACGGTATTTACCTCTCATTAGGTAGACCATCTACTCATTTGCCCCTGTACCATAAAAAAAAACGACGCTTGGACACAAAAAAAAACCTTTTAATATATTTAGTATACGGTGTACAGAAAAATAATAACAATAATTTATAAGAACTTTATGATTCCATTACTTAGAATCGAAACATTTGTTTTTCGTTTTTTGAAAATCATTGTTTACCAGATCCTTTTAACGTAATTGTATTAAGTGTTTCGATCAAAGAATTAATATATTAATCATAATAATTGCACAAGCTTATTGTCGTCGGCTTATATTTATTCCATTAAATATAGACGCTAATAATAAAAACCACCCTCCGTTTACTTAGGTGACGTCATAAGAATCCATCCGACCTATTAGGACGGAATGTTTGAAACGATAAATATGTCACACACAGATTTGTATATTGTAGATATGGATACAGAAAGTATGATTAGTTAGAGAATACTTATTAGAAATCTGAATTCTCTTCACGTCTAATTATATATATAGAATTTCTTATTTTCACTTTTCCTTTTGTTTTGAAAATAATGTTTGTTAATTATTAATATAATTACATTCCAAACATATACAGGGTGACTGGTGAATTACTATCGATATTTGAGGACGTGATATTTGACGATCATATATGACAAAATAAAAATTAATATAACATAAATATTAATAAACTTCTAAGTAAAGTTAACCAAAAGTTATGTAATTAATTACGCATCGTATGAACACCCTACAGATTAGGTATACACACACACTCACACAGACGCGGCGGCGGCGTAGTTTTGTATCAGCACGCCGCCGCACGCGTCCACACTTGGAACACTTGGAACGTGTACACACTTTATTTATTTATACGGAAATTTGGTCAAAAATTAAGTACCTATTTTTTTTACATAATTCGAATGAGAATCATGTACCGAGTATGCTCCTTAAATATTGATAGTAATTCACCAGTCACCCTGTATAGACGAAGAATATAAATAGCTAGGAACGTTCTTGTAATATTTTTGATATGGTTATATGATAAATTTGAAAACAAAACGTTCATAAGAAAAACAATTGAAAATATTTAGTAGATTTTATAGTATCATTATTTTAAAATAAATAACAGTCATGCTATTAACGTATAATTCTAAGAACATTTAAGCATTACAAGTTAGATCTAGCCTTGTGTAAATCACGTTAAGACCCTTCTGACTACCTACTACAGGTTTTCTCACTGGGTATATTTTTTAATTTCTTTAAATATTCGTTTACATTTAGCCTCACTTTAGATTTAACTCTAACAATGAATCGATGTTGTTAACACTGATTTGTAATCTTAAGTTACAAATTAATTTGTTTAAAAAATCCTTCAAGGATTTTATCTTCGATTTGGACTTCAAATGTATCAATTAGATGTATCTGTCGTTTAATTAAACATACGTATTGTAATAATTAATTATTTTACCATACCAAATCTTAGCTCGAGGTTTAAAATTACCAAAATGAGAAAAACATTTTCTTGTGCTAGGTTTTCATAAGCGAATTATATATATAATTTTTCTGTTACCACCAAAATTTTCCATACCCTTTTAAAATCTTTGTCATATTTTGAGTTTAGCGTATAATTATTTTTGTTGATATTACTAAAGATCGTCACTTAAACTATAAGCTATTGTAAATTTTCTCTTTGTTTTTGATATTCAAACATGAAAAATGTAATAAAACATCAACAGTTTCTTACAAACCCAATAAAACTTCGCTGAAATACTCATGCCGTAGTGCCAGTTTCTTTGAACGGGAGATTTACTGACTTCGGTGGACTTCTGCAACATTTTTAACTCTCAAAATAAGGAAAAAGATGAAAAATATTATAGTTATTGGAATATGCGGCATTTTCTGTGAACAAAGGCTGAGGTCTGAGCTTAAATAATTTTTTTATCTTACGTTATTAAATGAAATCAAACCACGATTGTGATTTTCCATTATAAAAGTAGATTAATTTATGTGGACTCTGGTTTACGAATTAGGAATCCCAATTCTTTGACAAGCCAACGTAGGCTTTCGTTGTATCTGATTACTGATATAAATCCCGGGATCCATATGGATCATTTTGTAAGACAGTGATTGATACTTTTCCGTTTCATAAAGTGGCTCTTATTTAATTTAAATAATTTTTTGTTTACAATTTAGGTAGGTAGTGTTCTCGACATCTTATTCTTGTCTTCCAAGTCAATCTTCATATCCTTTTTGTAAATGATAAAATAAATACTCTTCAAAAAACTATTAACTTTTTCTTTCAATATTTCTATAAGTTTAAGTCACATTCGGAAAGTGAGACAAATAGTAAGAGCTTCCCAAAGCATAAGACGATCGTAAATTAGTCGGTGGCGGGCAATTTGCGCCACCTTTGATTAAATTCGCAACCCTAGTTGATTTGTGGCTCAGTAAAGTCTGAACGTTGACGTCATTACAATTGAATCATATAAGTTTAAATTAATTAACGAATTCTATTAAAATTAAATAAGATGATACGAACACGTTTTCATAACACATGACCACAAGCACTGTCATTACACTTTTGTTTCTAGTTAAATAAATTTAAATAAACATGGGCTTTTGACATTCGTGAACATTTTCCTGCAAATTTTGCAGTATAAATAAACAATACTACACACAATATTACACACAAATATGCTTCATAAAATAGACATTAAATCTCTTTAGTAACAAACATTATTTAAATCTCCGGAATAAAACAAAACTCATAATTTAATTAAATATAATAATTTTAAGCGCTCTAACTCATGTTCAAATATCGTATACAATTTCACTCGACGCGATGGTTAGCGGTGATACCCTTTATTTTAACTTATCACCTGTACTCGTCTGAGTGCAGCAAACATACGTATTCAAATTACATCGAGCATGTTAAATAATGAAAGATTAAATCTTTTCCTAAGAAATAAGAATACTCACTTTCGTTTTCATTGCTGAAATGATACAATTGTATTTACAAAAAGTAGTATTAGTGTTTTTTTATTTGCTTATTAAAATGTATGGCGCGACGGAAATTTAAACCATGTTTTTACGAAAGTGGGCAATAACATAAGCAGTATATTTCAGAGTTTTATTTCATTACGTCTACCCGTGAGATGTTATGTTGATAACTTCGAGGAAATTAGATGCTTCCATTTTACAATACCATTATTACATGAGTGCAAAATGTTTTCGGCTGTTTTTTGTATTATTCATACCAACTTTACTATTACAAAGATAAAAATTTTTGTACAAATTAAACGAAAAACAATCTTTCTTAAGAAGATATGTTGGAATTTGAGAATTTGATTTTTATTATAACTACTCTCAATTTGTGAAATACAAATATGAAAGTATTTTTTTATTATTATCTTCTTAAGTTCCCTTTTGACCTTTTATCTTGACTGGCGATCATTAATTAAAATTTGGGTAAAAGTAAAGAAACCTTTTCCTAAATTGTTATTTATCTAGGGTACTAGAAATATACGTCATCAGCCTATCAGCGCCCACTGCTGAGCAAGGCCTCTTTCTCACATGGAGAAGGTTTGAGCATTAATCACCACGCTTGCTCAAGACGGGTTGGTGATTTCAAACTTATAATTGTGAAACTATAAGTCCAGGTTTCCTCACGATGTTTTCCTTCACCGTATATCGGTGATGTCTTAATAATCTCAGAAAGTACATATGACTTCGAAAAATCACATTGGTACTTGCCAGGTTTGAACCCGCGCCCTCCGCAACGAGAGGCGGACCCTTTAACCACTAGGCCACCACTGACTAGAAATATACAGATATTATAATTTTAAATATCTTTTTAAGAGCGGGAGAGATGAGAGCCATCTCTCTTACCCAACATAAGCAGATTCCATTCTTGTTTTATCCTTAAACCTATTGCTAAATTGACCCTTTTTATTAATTACAAATATTTTTATGCTACTTTAAATACAAATAAAATTGAAATGTAATGCTTTTTTAATAAATCTTCTGTTCGTTTTTCCGCGAGTAAAACTGAAACTAGGTTTATTGTTATTTGAAATCAAATTATTTTTGTCTCTTGGATTTGTTTTCGATGAATTATAGTTCAGAAATAACTTTAGTTCCTTACTTGAAAACAAAAGTTACTCAAATAACCAGAGGATAATTAAACTACATATAAAGTATACATTAAATTAAATTGTGGTTTATAATTTTATAAAATACTCCGACACTTCAATGATTAATAAAAACTATCTTCAATACTAATTATTATCTTACTTACGTATTTATAATAAAGATTTTTGTTTAATACTTTACATATGACTTTAATCAGCGAATCCATTTCCGTTAGTTCAAAATAAGGTCGCTAGTTGGCGTGATTGCAACTCCGCGTTACCAATTTCCAAAGGAAGCATGTAACCAAATCACAAAAATGAAAAAGCCAAAGTACAAATGAAATTGCAAATAGACGTTATGTAAAGATATTATAATTTTGTGAACAGAGTAAAAATATACATTTGTATCAAGAATTAAAAGAACAAAATTACAGTCATTGTTTTTATGAATGGATAATTACTAAAGAGGCAATAATAGTTGGTTTTGAGTTCAACAGTAGGATAAAAATGAAGCAAAATTACTAAATACATTTTAAATATAATTAAAACATTCTTTTATATCATGTTTTGTTAAAATATATATTATTTTATGAAAATTTATAACAGTGCCATCTATTTGCAGGCGCGGTCAAAGCTACCTAAGAAGCGTCGCCGAGTTTTACCTGTAGAGCAACCTCGAAGAAAACGTGACATCAGCGCCTCCAACCGCCGCGTGAACGCTGTGAAACATCCCGTTGTACTGAAAGATATCCCGGTCAACAATAAATTTGGTACGTTCCTTAATTGGTTGCATTGTTTACCGATAGGTGGCGTCCTGGATATCGTATTACGTCCCAGTATCCTTGTACATAACATATACTAACATTTGTTTGAATCCATACTAACTTTATTAAACTTTCACAGGTGTTAACGGCATGAACATGATCAGTTTGGCCCTTCAGGGTCCTCCAAACCTTCTTCGTCCACCACCAACCACCCAGCCCCTTCAGGCTAGAGCACCCATAGGTAAATCCCAGAAACAGCCTGTTATTGTCTTTGTAGCTTCTCCACGCCACAGACCTCTTAACTCATAATACCCGTAAAAATCATTATCATCATAAAAAAAAACAATAATATTAAAATTAATATTCAATTGAGTATAAAGTTGAATGAGACTTATTTTCTCATGTCTTTTGCAGTTGAGAGTCCGATTATCAACACGCAGTGCGGTGCCATATCTTTGGCTTCGTTGCAACCACCTTTGATGACCGCCCCGCCCCTGCAACCACGCCCCGCAACCACCGGCTCCTTAGATCTAATGTTACCTTTACAACCAAAATTACTACCCGGTTACAATTTGCAATCATCGTTTCTAACCAGTACCCTATCAACTGTTCGTCCACCAGACTTACCCAAGAACGGTAAAACGGAATATTACAGACCAAGTGTTGAAGTTATCGTTGAACAAGAAACTGCTGTAGATACAGTGACAGTTGGTGATAGTGAAAAAACACATAGTGTAAATAATATAGAAGATAATGAAAACAATATATTACAAGATACAAATGAAGCTGATGACAAAGATGAAATAAACTCAAATGTTATTGATATTAATACGATCGACACTAGTCTTAATTGTAGTTCAAATGATAACAGCTCGAACAACAATTCTCATTAAAATATTAAATTAAATCTAACATGTTTAAAAATTAAAACATATAAATATTGTAAGATGTTGAAATAAATCTCTCATTAAAGTAAATTTGTTGATAAACTGTAAATGTTTTAGTTAGTACGCTGGCTATTAAAATATTAAAAGGACGATCAAGTTCTATATATTTGAGTAGAGTCTTATAAACCTTGAATAATTTTGACCAAACTAATGTAGCTAATAGTTATTAGAATGTTTTTGTATATTTTGTATAATGAAAGACGTAACAGTGATCAAATTGTACATTCATGTAAATGATAGCTCATTTGTATTTTCTATTATTACAATATAACATGTACAGGAGTTTTATCTAATATTGTCAGTTATAAATTTTATATGGAATTAAAAATAATGATAGTAATTAATTCTTTAAATATTTTAGGTCTTAGATTTCGCCAAAAAAAATTATGCATCAATGTGTTACTATCTTTGAAGTTGCCAAAAGATATTGTTCTATTTTGTATGACAGTATTTTGGTAGATCGTTACCTTTAATATTTAAGAAGACGGATTAATTGTATGGCTTCTTATAAAAAGCGAATTACTATATAAGAAACATAACTTGTTGTATATTGAAGTTATTTCAATTTCTGTATTAAAATTATAATTAAGATGGCGAAAGGATTAAGAACGTATGTTGCAAACAATTATTTGAAAATAAAATCATGATAAACGCTTTGTTTACTTCATACGAAATAATATTTATTTTTGTTTTGGTTTTATCTTTAATAACATTATATTTAATGTTTCTATCATTTATTGAGTATAATTTACATCACTCCTGTATATTTATTTAATAAATAAAACATTCTTCCTTTCATCCTCATACGTTTACTCGAGTTCTTAGCTCGAAATTATGCGCCCTTTGGGTATTTACAAAAATTGAATTTACTCGGAAAACCGAAGCTTAAATAAGCAAGTAAATGTGCCAAAACTAAACTAGGTAAGTTATTATGACAGTTACATGTTTAAAAAGTGTTTAAATATTGGATTAATTTTATTTTCATTATATATATTTTTTTCAACATTTATTAGCATACCATATTTTTTCAAGTTATTTTTGATAGCTTACCTTCCTAACTTAATGTAATATAAATATACTGTCGATATTAACTTTGTAGTCATTGTATAAATGTGTGAATTATAGAATAACATATTTTTGTAAAAAAAAAAACATTCTTTTATTTAAATAAAAAGAAAAAGTTCCAGCTCGCAGGAATACAAATTATTAACTTATTTTGAATGTAACTAAATTTAATGTAATAAATATTTTATCGTTAGAATAAATAAATAATTAAAAATACCAAAAATGTTTAATTTCTTGAAATACAAATGTATTATGCGAACCCAGATAACATAAATGTTACATTTAGTGTAATTAATTGATAATTATATTGATTTATATATAATCTGTTAGTGGTTTTATTAACTTGTTAAGGTCTCTTTGAGCTACTGGCAGTACAGTGCCAAAGGATCGTAATTAAATTTCACTGGACAACCTTTAATCAATCGTACGCTCACAGCGCAGACACGAAATAAAGATATCGGTTTATAAAAAAAGAAGTAATATTTAATTCCTTTAATAGAAATTTTGTTTTGCGATTATTTAATGACCGTAAAAAAGTACCCTGTCAAAGTTTAATATTTAAAATAAAATTAATAATGAACTCTTGAACCAGCCAATAGTTACTAAATATTTTTTGGTGCTTGTAAGCCTTTTTACACGTCAATTTATGGAGTCCAAGGCGGTGAGATAACGTTTGTCAGCGCCTCACGTCTGGACAAGTTTTTAGTATCAAAGCTAAGCCAACTTGGAGTGTTGCACCTCTTTTGCGAGGATGCCAGGTTTTCTTGCAAAATTCAAAAAGGGTTCAAAAGTACCTCAATGACTAATAAATTAAGATGGTAGAGCATCTTAGTGGCGCTAAATATCACAAAATTATCATTGCTCCATTCGGAGACTACCTGAAGGAACCTAACCTGTACCTAATCGTTTGGCACTGACATGTTATCAAAACTTTGTGTACCAGCATTCAGAGGGTAGAAAATTTTACGTCTTCAAAATGAACATGCTGACAGCTACTGTCATTGCGCTGCCGAAGTCAGACGTAGACGAGATAGTCTCATGTCTGCACTGCCCTAATCAATTGCGCAGTAAATATTGAGTTTAACAGGAAAGTGACCCAATAAAGCGGGCTGAGAAATTATTGTGTACCAATACCCCGGGTCAATATTTACTCTGAGATTGATCGAAAATCGTTCGACATTATGGCTCTTTCGTAGCTTAATTCTTGACTTATCTATTAAAACTGTGTAAACATATTAAAAAACCGTTTTGGCTTATAGCAATACTTTTATCAATATATCTATCCATTACATATTTATCTTATTGTTGAAATTTCTTATATCAATTTTATATAGAAATCGTATCCATGTATATAGCTCCAGATTATTGTTATTGAAGCAACAAAAACCTTTTCTGTCATATATATTTTTTATATTTTAACGGTTATGGTAGCGCTGTATATCCCGTAGTAAATCAGTTCAGTTTGTAACTACTAAACTATAAACCAACCTCTCATACTTATTCTTTTATATGAAGGCTGCATCATAAACCTCTGAGTACATTTTCACGTACCTCGTAGAAGATGCATTTCCCGTGTACGTGATTTTACACTTAGGGTAATTTTGATAAAATATTAGTTTAAATTTTAATTATATATTTCGTTATAAAATTCTCCTCTGGTTTAAAATCCATTAAACGGTCATAAAAATAATTCTGTTTCACGATTTTGTTATAAAATAACCTACTAGCTTAACTAGTATAATTTAATATACTTTTTGACTGCATTCTAGATATTTTAAGCATTTTAGTATATCTGATTACTATCATATAATAAATATAATCGACGAATTTCATTATAATAGGTAAACACAACAAGTCTATAAATTATGTTTAGTAATTTACTGAGAAACACAAACAACAACTCGTGCAACAATAAAGCTTAAGGAGGAAACACCAATAATTAGGTTGCGTTTGGTTCGTTTATTAGCAGTAACTGCTATGTTGACTTTAGGGTAAGTTTACACTGTACATAAAACTTTCTTAATTACTTTGTATTAACGTGCTTCGTCTGAGAAACATGAGATAGAAGTAGAGTTTAGTAATCAATATAAATAAATCAAACGAACCCTTTAAGTTCTTGTATTTACCAAATTTAGAGAATATTAAAATAAGTAAAATTAAAAAAGTCTTAAATGTAGCTCTATTTTAGAATAAATTTTTAAAACTGTTTCAATTGGAAACAATAGGTATGAATTAAATAAAAAATTCGTGTATACAGGTTATTTTATTTATATTTCTATCCAACTACATATATACTTATAATTGTTTATTGAATCAAAATTGTAAATATACCATATGTACGTACATCTTTACCTGTTTTGTTATGGAAAACCCTATGAGTCTGCTGAAATAATGATACAGATGCTATTTTATCGTATTTGGGTTTTTATTCCTAATAACAAGTTATAAACACGAAAATGTTGACTTCAGAGATGTTCATATCAAATTTTATGTAAGTAAAACTAAAAACAGTACTTAATATTGATTTTGACTTGCCCATTGATGAAAAACATTACAATTTTTTTCAAAAATATTTCTCTATGGATCGTAAAAGCATAACAAACAAGCTAGATATAGGTTAAGGTAATTTTTTCAATTTAAAAATAAGATGATTATAGAAAGTAAAACTTTATGGCATTACTTTAGATCTGATAAATATATTATGATATATTTATGTAACAAATGCTTTTAAGTAATTCTGAAACGGTACTTATCTCTCAGTGATGTTTTGTTTGATATGTTTAGTTTACCACTAACTATACATTACGATGGATACAAAATCAAGGTTTGAAAGAAAAATTATGACTCATGAAATATTACATTTTTTTCTTAAAAGCTTTTAAAAACGTGTTTACTAAACGTGTTTAATATAAACATGTAGTGGATTGAAAAACCTTAAAATATATGACATCACTATGGTGGAACTAAAAATTGCAAAAAATTGCTATTTGATAGTAAAAATCATTTTCATCAAATAATAACAATGTCTCCGTTATTATTAAATAATAAGAGTATAGTAAAAAACCCACGTATATTTTGTTATTTTTTTTTTAAAGCTGGATAAAATTCATAGTATCATCCAAGTAGTAGTTTTTCTTCAATGTGTTTTTTTATCTGACTCTAAAAGATACATCTTACTAATAAAAAATTGAATAAATAATGGTATATGAAGTATATGAAATTAATTTTAAAACAGTTCAATTAAATAACCTTAATTTACAGTATAAAAACAAATCTAAATAAATTGGTTTAGGTAAGACGACAGTGATAACCAAAAAATCTTACAAACTATTATAATTTCATCAAAATTTTATTTCGTAATAGTCCACTATTAGTACAGTCGATGTTCTATAAACGATTATTTCCCCATAAAACCTGACACGAACATCTCTTCGTATCTTTATGGCATAAAATTTTTGCCTTACCCTAATACTTAGTTGCTATGGAAATATCGACCTTATATATATAGTGTAAAAGGTTCACGTGCTGCAATGTGTTAAAGAGGAAATATGAATAAAATATGGCGCTAATGTTTTGCCGATATGAAAGAAATTTCGGCTCTTATTTCAACCGTTTATATTAAAATATATCTCACTTAAACGCGCCTTTGGTCATATACTATGTTTGAATATTACAAGACACTCAGTAGCACTGTTGAGATTAAATTTTAATTACTTCAAGATTTTTTGCTTACCTCAATATACTTTAAAATAAAATTAAGTATAATGTCTGTAACTTCTAATTAACAAATTTTCACTTGCATGTGAATGTAAGTATATACAACAGCTACATGAAAGTTACCATTTAAAATCGTTCGTCTATCTGTCCGTTTGTTGAATCCA